TTTTTGTAGTAGTAAAAATTAGAAAAGAGTAAATGCCCATGAAATATGGTGAATACAGAGAACATATAAACTTTGTTTATTTCACTTGTATCAGATCATATATGTTCATATGTATGTGTGTACATATATAATTATATATATGATTAAAACATTATAAATATAAAGAACAACAACAATAAAACAACAAAAACTTAATGCTATGAAATTAAAATGACCAAGTTTTGACTCAAAGAAGAGATACACAAAGCTTCCTCCCACCCCACCCCTACTTCTTTGAAGAGATGAGGTACTCTCAGTGTGTAACACTTAATATAAAGGCAGATTTTTTTTTTTTAATATGGTAGTTTTGTTGAACTGGTTTTTTTCCTCTTTTTCATTTTTTATTATATGGGATTACTCTCTGAGAAGGATATATGTCAGGAAATTAAAGTCCTTTTAAAATAAAAAATATCAATAAAAATGAATTTAATATATATTTTTAAAAACAAAAGGACCAGAGACTGGTGCTTATGTAAGTAAGGACAGACTAGATAGTCTGGATAGGACACAGGAGTTCCTAGGTAGACAGGGGATAGCCTAAGGGCATTAGAAGCTTTAAGGGAGATATTTAAAGGCAAAAGTTGAAGGAGAAGGAAGAAACTTAGCTTTATATCACAATTTTATTTAGACCCTTGTTGGGGCTTTACTTTGGGGCAGGGAGTAGGTCTATCAAGTTTCTATTCAGACTAGTAAATCAGTGGGAAAAAGTCAAGAAGGACTCAGGAGAAGTCACAATGCTGTGGAGAAAGTGACTTGGGCAGAGAGTACTCAGAAGGACATTGGAGAATGGCTTAGTACACTGGGAGCTGGGAGGTGGGAAAATTCTTGACAGTACTCAGAGCTTCACCTGGAGGTCTAAAATTTAGGATATTAGGATCTGTGGGGGGTTTTCTGTGTGGTTTCTTCTTTATTCATTCAACAAACATTAATGAAATACCAAATGAGATAATTTTGTAGATAAAAGTGTTTAGCACAGTGCCTGGCACATACCAGGCATTATATAAATGCTTGTTCCATTCCCCTTCTCTCCTTCTCTATCTCTTCCCCACTCTTCCTCTACAACTAGTTATATCTGAGGTACTGGTAATATAATTTTTTAAATGAAACAAAACAACAGGATCTCTAAGCATCCCTCACTTACGAGAGTAACACTCCAACATTGCTTAGGCATAGATCAGAGTCAACTTTCAATACCATTTTTATAGTAGAATAATAGGAATTAACTTATATGTATCAAGTACACTATGGGACACATCATGTAGTCTTACCAAAGAAACACACAAAATATATCTATGAAATGGACTTGAAGCTATTCCAGGCTATCAGATGCTATACAGGTTGGATCAGAAATGGGAATGGCAATCTTATGAAAAATTCCCAGTGACACTGAATACCTGCAAATAGCTGATAGGGCCTATACTTGGAAAGTTTCACTGGAAAATTACTCTAGTAAACCCTAGTAAACATTAGTCAGTTTTACCCAGAAGGAAGATAGAACTGTCTTGTGAATTGAAGCTCAAGTTCCAACTCAGCTGAACCCAAGGATTAAGTGAAGCTTGTGTGTTCTAATGGGCAGTTGGTACATCTTAACAATAGCAGCCAGCTGGAAAGACTAAGAAAGAATGTACCATGTGCCTTGATTATTTGCACAAAGTAAAATCAGCAAATAAAACGGATTTTGTAAGTTGTTTGCTGTTATCTTTTCAAGTAAATTTTCTGACTGGTCATTTGTTTATTTAGTGCCAACTTAAGCACATAGCAAATAAAATTACTTCTTGTGTTGAAGCAACATATATATGATCACATTAGCTATCATTAAATGTTTCTCATACTTCTCCCAGCTCCTTTTTAAATAAAAATAAGAGAAGAGACTACAGATGTCTATTCTGCCTCCCTTTGAACCACACAATGATCCCTGCCATGCTGCATGCTGGGGATAGCCCTCAGTACAACAGAGGGGTTGAGAGGGAGTGTACTTGAAGTTGAAAAGCTCAGGAAGGACTTCATTCAAGTCATTGAATTTCACCAAGAAATCTAAAAGAAAGAGTGGGTCCAGAAGTGGTGGGGCAAACTTAGAATCTCCACTGCTAGGAAAGGCTGAGGATGGTCAGCTTGAATTTGGGAGCTTCAGTAGGGCAAAAGGTGATCAGGTGCCCTTATTAACTCCAATATGAACAGGGTGAGGTCCCCAGGATGGAGTACCACTAGGCTACTTAAGTAGGAATGAACATGCTTAGGTCAAAAAATTGGAGGGGGTTAAAGTTTCCATGTTGAGATTTCCTTGAGACTTGGGATTAAAGGTTCAGATTGTTTACAACACTTCCTTTCCACCTGAGTACAAAGCAGCCACAGGGATGCTTGATACTTGGCTGGTGGATCACAATGGCACAGGAATTTCATTCAGCTGAATCTACTCAAGGTGTCCTCAATGCCTGTGCTTGTTTAATATTCTTATTCTCCTATGGCTAAGTAAATGTCTTTTTGTTAACCATTGGATGACCTACAAATGTCTCATTTTGTTTAAGTATTAAATCTAAACTATCTAAGTCAGCCCAAGCCAGAACATCAAGAAAGTTAAAGAGGTCACCAAGAGAGAGTGTAAAGAAAGAATTATAGGGGACTCAAGATAGAGCCCAAGATAGAGCTTTTGAGGAGCATTACATGTATGATGGACCAGTAAAGGAGATGGAGAAAGAGCAGGAGGTGAATCAGGAGAGAATAGTGTAATGAAAGCTCAGAGGAGAGAGTATACAGCAGCAGAAGTCAGCCAGCAGTGCCGAATGCAACAGATAGGTTTAGAAGGATTAAGACTAAGAAAAGACCATTAGATTTGGCAAAAAAGAAATCACTAATAACTTTGGAGAGAGGCTTTTCAGTTGAGTGATGGGTGAGATCTAGAAGCCAAGTTCCTTATGGTTGAGAAGTGAGAGAAAGAAAATGCAGTGAATATAAATAGCTTTTTCTAGGAGTTTGGCCAAGAAAGGAAAAGTTTAGGATGAGGGGATTGGGGGGGCTGAGTGAAAATTTTTTAAGGATGGGAGAGACTTGAGCATTTTTGAAAGCTTTAGCAAAGGAACCAGTAGATAGAGAGAAATCATTAAAGTTGCAATAATGGAATGGAACCAAAAGCTTTTGCAAAGGAGTTGGCCTTGTTATGGAGAAAAGCTACCTCATTGTCAAATGTGGGAACAAAGGAGGATATACTGGGGATAATGTCAAGGGGTTTTGAGATGAAAGGAATGGTAGGAGAAGGAGATCCTGTTGAATGGCCACAATATTCTCCATTGGGGTAAAATCCTCAGCTAAGAGAGAGGGAGGAGAGGTAAGTGTGGGAAGTTTTAGCAGGGAAAAGTAGGCTTAGAGGAGCTTTTATGGCCACTAAGGCAATCTGTTTGGGAGGGATAAAAATATTTCCTTGTTTCAGTGAAGGCCTAGTTGAAGTTGGATAACATGAATTTACAATTTACTCAGTCAAAATGTTATGTGACCTCCTTCTTACCATCTGGCCATACTTGAGAGAGAGCAGAGATAGATGACAGGAGTGATTTAGGGCTGAAGTTTGGCAAGGAATGTGCAGTGAAGAATAGGTTTAAGAGGTGTTCATGCACACGGAGAGACAGAATGATAGGTGATTATGGTCAAATAGAAAAATGTGAGAATTTTTAATTAGAGAAATAAAACATTTGTGAATAATGGGAAAATCCAGCCTGTGACCATCCTTGCTGATACGTGGTGGAAATGGAGAGAAGAGCTTGAACCTAGTTTCTTTTTAACTTTTTTTTTTTAAATGTGTCATGGACCCTTTCAGCATCCTGATAAAATCTACAAATAGGCTCCTTCTTAGAATAATATACTAGAGAACCTTCAACATCCATGCTGATGCTCTCTTAAATTCTCTATCTTTCCTATTTCTCAGGTTCCTTAAATCTCATTACCTAGTCCAGGGGTTCTTGCTAGGGTACATTAACTTAAAAAATTATCTTGAAGGGCAGCTAGGTGGCACAATGGGTAAAGCTCCAGTCTTGGAGTCAAGAGGACCTGAGTTTAAATCCAACCTCAGACACTTGACACTTTCTAGCTGTGTGACCCTGGGCAACCCTGATTGCCTCACCAAAAAGAAAAAAAATTATCTTGATCATTATTATTCCAATATAATTGGTTTCTATTGTAAATCTATATATTTTATTTTGTGCACTTAAAAACTCTTATTCTGAGTAAAGGCAAAGCTTTTCAATGATTTTATTTTCCTTTCTAGGACATTGATACTTTGTGATGCTCATCCAGTTTTTCTGTTCATTTTCTCATCTATCCTGAAATGGCCCAAAGGAGTGGGCAAGTTTTGCATTCACTGACAATTTCAAGATCCTGAAGAAACAGTGGTATATACTCATGTCTAAGAACACTGACTATTCTGGTATCAGATTGGCCTTTTTGTGACTGTTTCACATTAAATTCAAATATGACAGTAAAAAGTTTTTCCAAACAATTTCATGACCATTGTTTTCTAGAGTCATCACACCTACTGTTTCCTCCTCATCTACTATTTATTTCCATGTAGTCCCTCCTCCCCTCTTCTGAGTTGCTTTTAAGTAATACAGGGAACTAAAATAAGAACAATGGCATGAAACAGTTTTACTAATGTGGCTCATACCGAAGGAAGGAAAAGTTGCATTTGTGAGTAAGTATTGCAAGAGATCCACCAAAGAGAAAATAAATCTTGCATGGATTCTACAACCTAGATTAAATGAGAGGAACTACCCATACTTGAGGAGCACTGGTGTTCGTGAGAATCTGATTTTCTTACTCTGTCCTTCGGGATAGAAACAAGTTGTTGTTGTTTTAATAGACATTGATGGCTGTTAAAATTCTTCTGAACACTCAGATAACATTTCCAAACAGTCTTGCCTGTTTGTTCCTTAACCAAGTTCATTTAGTTCCAAAACACTGTCTCTGGTACTCACCTGCCTCGCTCATCTTCCAAGCCTGCCATCCATTTGCAGATAAATGATTCATTCAATTTCTAAACCATACTGCTAGAGGTAGTTAGTCCTTTCTTCCCTACTCCCTTTCCCCTTCTTGTATCATTGCTATTGGTTGTAGCTAACACATCATATTCAATTCAATTCAACATAATCCCATTATGTCTAAAGTTCTGTGCTAAATGCTGGAGAAGATAAAGGAAGATGGTTTAAGACCTCAAGAAATATGAAATCTAGTTGATTACATCTTAGTTTTCATCTTCAAAATCTTTTTCTAGCAAGCAGGTTACAAGGCCTTTTCTATCTCAGTTTTCTATCCCCTGAATAAGGCAAAGTTTATTCTAAATCGTGAAAGAGTTGACAGTGCATTACTTCAGCCCATGCTGCAGAGGGGTCAGGCCAGGACAGGATGCTAACACTAAACATCCTTATTCTTTGGTGTATTGCGTAGACCTAACATTTACTCAGACCTCTAGTTCCATGTATATACTGACCTCTAGGGGTTGGCTTTCCTTCATATAAACTCTTTAGCTTCTCACCGAGTTCCAGCACTGTGATGGCAGCCTCCTGCTTAGCTGTTGCCAGATCAGTCTGTAGCTTTTTCATTTTCCTTTTGTGCTTAAGTTTCTTTAAAAAAAAAAAAAAAAGAAAGAAAGAAAAAAGAAAAAAAGTTTCCATCATGAAAAACAGGTGGGGATGAGGGTGGGGGAGAGAAAGGAACGGAAAGGCAAAGAGAGGAAAATAACTAACAATGCCTATACACATAACCTTGGAAGAATGACATAGCTGGAAAATGTTTGAGCCTTGTACAGATCAGATCCTGTTTGACTTTTACATAATAGGATGTGCGTGTGTGCCTGTGTATGCAAGGGAGACAATAAACTGAAATCCAAATCACTTTAAGATTCACATAATTTTTAATATTTAACTTCTCTATGGGTTCCCAGAGTGGAAAAATTTAGACTTTTTGAGGTAATGTGGAGAAGCAGCTAGATTAGAAACATTATCTGCCAACCTGTACTTCACTACCACTGATAAGCTATGGTGAGTCAGCTGTAAATATTCCTCACTTCCTCAAAATATTTGGAATTTTTCCTGATCTGGAAATATATGCATTTGAATTTATCATATTCTTCTAGATTCTTCATGTCCTCTTCAAAAAGAAAGAAAGAAAATGAAAAAGGAAATTATTTGGCTCTAAATATCATATATATAAAGAAACCATGTAGATCTCACATGTGGATGCCACCAAATTAAATAAATATTGAATATGACACTCAGACAATTGGAAGATATTTGATAGCATGTCTCCATGTGTGAAGATATCTGGTCAATGATGCAGAACAGGTGTGTTCATATATAAAAGTATGAACTCAAAACAGTTAAATTTGGGAGGGATTACTTATTTTACTGGAATATTTGTTTCAACAGAAAGCTCTTCTAGTACATTGACAATATGATGTAAATTAGCTTAAAATTTTCTGTATGTGAAACTTTTAGGAATACACCTGTTATATAAAGTGATAATTGGTACATTTACTTTCTCACTAAAAGTTTTCAATTGGCAAATACACAAATACTATATTTGTATTTAAGTTCTCAAATACTATCACATTTGTTGAAATGCTCAAATTATTTTCCCAAATGTCTCCCCCCAAATATGAACAGTCAACAAACATGGTCAGATTTAAGAAGCTTGAGCAGGTTGGCTGAGGTTAAGGTGAAAGATGGGGCAGAATTAATTTGAAATGGAAGCCCAAATCATGGATCCAAACCAATCCAGGTTGTCTAAATTACTTATGTTACTTTTTTATTTGTTATTGTTTTGCTGAGTGAAGAGGTAGGTCAAAACCTTTCCTTTTTTCTTTTCCCCAGACAGAACTGCTACATGACATTCATCTGTGTTCCTCCTTTGGGCATTTTAGGAATTTAATTAAATTAAATTTGCCAACATGCTTTTTATTAGTCACAGACATCAAATTATTTCAATCAAGGTGATATTCTCTTCCATTTTTACATTCACATGCCCAGCAACCATAGTGTTATATTAAGGCTCTAATTAGGTCTATTATTACTTACTTTGTAACTATGGACTGTACTCTATTATTATGGAAGCATCAAAGCTTTATGGCCTGAAGATAAATTCTTAGTGCCTGCTATTTCACAAACTTTTACTACTGGGTGGAAAGAGAGAGGAAATCACACATTTCCATGTTGTTTTTAAAAGGAAATATTTATCTGTATTATACTACTGAATAGCATGAACTGTGCCAGGATTCTAGGAATTAGAGATAATAAAGAAAAAAATATATAAATTTAGAAGTGTTTCACCTGGGTTTTTCATCTCTCAGGGAAATTTCAGGGTATTTCTACAACTTCTCAAACAGTGAACTTGAAACATGTTATAAGAAAATAATTTCAGTAATCCAAACCAATCTCTAAAATATTTGTATTCAGGCTCTGAATGTCACATTCAAAAATAACCATTAACTCATGAAATCAGTGCTGTATTTTGGACAGTTTTTCCTGCACATTTGTCTCAGTTCTCCTCCTTTGTGTAGGTAGACATATTTTAAATGAACACAGAAATGTAAATAGCTTTGATCCAATCTGCAATTAATCAGCTTTTTGTTTAGGTGAAGTTGGTGACTGCCGAATAAAAAAGATAACATCTGTATAGTATTTTAAGGCTTACAAAGTGTTTTCCTCACAACATTAAGTTAAGAAGCACAAGTATTATTAGCCTTATTTTACAAGTGAAGCAAATGAGGCCCAGAGATGTACACAGGATAAAATAGAAACTCTTTTGTTTGGTTTATAAGGTTCTTATCTGACTGAAGCACAATCAGACTTGGAGGGGAAGGAGCCATGGTGCTTATTCGAGCTGGTTGGGGTCGGGGGGGAGAGAAAAAGAGGGAAGAGGAGGGAAGACCTGGGGAACTGACCACTATCTGATATTCAAATTCTCTGCCAGTGGGGAAAAGGGACTTTGAGCCACAACTACAGGCCTTCCTCTGTCAGGGTGACTCTGAGGATGTGAGCTTCCCTGGATCTTCTTCCTTTAGTGGTACAGGGAGGCCACTGAAGTCTTTATAATCATCCTCTGTCCCTGGGACGCTAAACAAAACTTCTGACCTGCTAGATCTCATTCAGGGAAGCCTGCAGCTGGCACAAAATCCTAGTGCCCACTTTCACAAAGAGTCAGACACTTAGGAAGATTATGAGCCCATCCTAGAAAAAACTCTCTTGGCCAATCCCATTCATTTGTCACCCTGTACCATTTGTCCATCCCTGTGGCTTTTTTGCCTAGGGAACATCCCTCCAGCATGCCAGCTCCCTTTGTCTTCTTGGTGATTTAGAGGCATAAGGGAGCCTCTATTTTGGGAAGGAACTCAGGCTGGCCAATCTTCATTCCCCTCCCAACCCTACCAATAGTGCATTAGCATATCTATTTTTCCACATCTCCTTGACACAGCATTTGTCATTTTCCTTTTCTGTCATGTTAGCCCATCTGATGGATGTGAAGCAGTACCTCAGAGTTGTTCTAATTGTTTCTCTAATTATTAGTGATTCGGAGCACTTTCTCATATGACTTGGATTTTTTTTTTTGATAATTTTGATTTCTTCTTCTGAACTCTGCCTGTTTATATCCTTTGATGACTTATCAATGGGAGAATGGTTCTAATTTTTGTAAATTTGGCTCAGTTCCCTATATATTTGAGAAATTAAACTTTTATTGGAGAAATTTGCTGTAAAATTTTTCCCCAGTTTCCTGCTTTCCTTCTAATCTTGGTTGCATTGGTTTTGTTTGTGTAAAACTTTTTGAATTTCATGCAATCAAAATTATCCATGATCCTCTCTATCTCTCTTTGTTCATAAAATTTTCCCTTAATCATAGACATGAATAATGCTCTTTATGTCTAAATCACCTACCCATTTTGATTTTATTTTGGTATACAGTGTGAGTTGTTGGTCTATGCCTAGTTTCCATCAAACTGGTTTCTACTTTTCCCAGCAATTTTTGTCAAATAGTGAATGCTTGCCCCCAAATCTTAGATCTTTGGATTTATCAAACACTATATTGCTATGGTCATTTAAAACTATATATTATATGCTTAATCTATTCCACTGGTCAACCCCTCTATTACTTTACCAGTACCAGATTGTTTTGATGATTACCACATTGTAATATAGCTTAAAATCTGTTACTGCTAGGTCACCTTCCTTCATCTTTTATTCATTGATTCCTTTGATATCCTTGACCTTTTGTTTTTCCAGATGAATGTTGTTTATTATTATTTTTTCTAGTTCTATAAAATAATTATTTGGTAGTTTGATTGATATGGCACTGAATAAGTTAATTGATTTAGGTAGAATAGTCATTATTATTGTATTGGCTTGGTCTACTCATGAGTAATTTAATGTTTATCTAACTATTTAGATCTATCTTTATTTGTGTGAAGTGTTTTATGATTGTATTCATAAAGTTCCTGGGTTTGTCTTAACAGGTAGATTACAAAGGATTTTATATTATCTGAAGTTATTATAAAGTTATTATTATCTTTTTCTATTTCTTCTTGCTGGGTTTTGTTGGTAATATATAGAAATGCTGATAATTTGTATGGATTTATTTCATACCCCATAACTTTGCTAAAGTTGTTCATTGTTTCAATTAGATTTTTAGATGATTCTCTAGGGTTCTCTGAGTTTACATCATATTGTCCACAGAGAGTGATAATTTTGCTTCCTCATTGCCTATTAATCATTCAATTTCTTTTTATCTTATTGCTATAGCTAGCATTCCTTGTGCAATTTTGAATAATAATGGTGATATCCTTGCTTCACCCCTGATCTATTGGGAAGGCTGCTAGTTTATCCCCATTACACATAATGCTTGCTTTTGGTTTTTGATAGAAACTCCTTGTCATTTTATTTTTTTCTTTTATTCTTTTCAAGTTCTTTTATTTTTTTCTGCTTTTGTTTAAATTTATTTAGCATTTTATTTTTCTTCAGTTAAATGTAAAACCAATTTTTGACATTCCTTTTTAAAACTCTGAGTTCCAAATTCTCTCTCTTCCTCCCTCTCTACCCTTACTCCCCCCATTGAAAAGACAAGCAATCCAATATAGGTTATACATGTTTAGTCATGCAAAATATTTCTGTAATATTCATGTTGTGAAAGGAAACATAGGCAAAAAAAACTCAAGAAAAATGAAGAAAGAAAAAATATGCTTCAATCTGTATTCAGACACCATTAGTTCTTTCTCTGGGGATGGATAGCATTTTTGATCATAAGTCCTTCAGAAACTCCTTGTCATTTTAAGAAAAAAAGTCCATTTATTCCTATGTTTTCTAGTGTTTTTAATAGGACTGAGTCAAAATTTTTGTCAAAAGCTTTTTCTGCATATATTGATAGAATTGTGGTTTTTTAATTTTTGTTATTGATATGACCAATTATGCTTATAGTTTTCCTAATTTTGAACTAGTCCTGCATCCCTGGTATAAATCTTACCTGGCCATAGAGCATGATCTTTGTGATATATTGCTATAGCCTCCTTGCTAGTATTTTATTTTAAAATTTTACATTGAAGGGTGGAGCCAAGATTGCAGAGAAAAGGCAGGGACTT